TATGGGAAATTTATTCACCTGTTCACAGATGTTCCTTGTACTACTTTATAATCAAATAACGGGGACTGTGACATTTCATGTCTTGTCTAAATAAGGAGGATCCTAGGTATTACTGGTAGGATTGAAAATAGTGGGCAGGTCATTTAAAAAAAGCTTGAAGAGAGTTGGACTAAAATTACATCCCTGTTTAACACCAATATTGGACTGAAATTGTTTTGTTAAACCTTCTTTACTTTATATTTTACTTTACTGTACATGTTCTATACATTTTTCCTGTTATACCATATTTGATTAATTTTTTGAATAGACCATCATGCCAGACACTGTCAAAGGCCTTTCTAAGGTCAATAAAGCAGGAATATACATTATTTGATTTTTTAATATTTGTGTTATTTTGTTTATTGGCACTCTCTGACTTACCACTGTAGAGATATTTATTTACCAGGGTTTTTAGTATGAAAAGATTGTCTGTAGTTCAGCAATCATGCCTGAATCCGAGCTGTTGACCGGAAAGAATGTTATTATAGTCTAAAAATAATGTCAGCCTAATTATTATTATTTTATTATTTATCTTTATTTCAGACTGTCAAACATTTGAAAGTCCATATAAAACTAGTATTAAAAATAAATAAATAAAAGAACAAAAAATATATGTATATAGGTCAGTGTGCGTATGGCAACATTAATAGTACAAAATATTATTCCAATGCTGGAACAAGGCAGACTTCCAACGGACATCAGAGTTACATAAGCTCACCAACAGACTGTTATCAGAGGTGTATATACGCTCTCTAAATTTAAATACAAGATTTCTAAAAATTTCGTAAAAAAACTTGACATGATTATATACAAACATATGATTTACACTAATCACGTGGTTAATGAAAAAAGCGGCGAAATAAGTTATTATAAAATACATGCAAAGCATTAAGGTTCGACTTCCGAAAGGAGCACCATAGTTGACAGCAGGAAAAAGTTATAACAAAAAGTTTTAAATAACAAAAGTTTGACCTCTAGCTACATTTTGAAAATTTCCTTATGCAAAATAGACGTTTCTGATGATCTATATCAGTGTTATCCTTCAAATCACGAGTAAGCTTGTAACCAAGATATGTAAATTGGTCAACAAATTCCATTGGATACTATTGAATAACTTGCCAAGACAGCTAGAGATGCCAATTCCCCTGTAGTTGGCCAGATTATTTTTCGACCCAGATTTGTGGATTAGTGCCAGTGCTTCAAGAATGTGGATAGTTACTTGAACTATAAACAATATTAAAGAGTTTATGTATTGCATCTAATAAGTGATGTTCAACATACTTTAACAATTCATTGCAAATTCTATCTTCTGCTGAAGCCTTGTTACTTTTAAGAAGTCTAATGTCTTTTGTGATTTCATTTTTGACTCCCGTGTGTGAAGCACAAAAAGGGAGTCTTTGCAGTTAGTGTGTCTGTATGTATGTATGTGTGTGTGCGTGTGTGTGTGTACGTGTGTGTGTGTGTGTGCGCGTGCGTGCGTGCATGTGTGCGTGTGCGTGTGCGTGTGTGTGTGTGTGTGTGTGTGTGTGTGTGTGTGTGTGTGTGTGTGTGTGTCCGTGTCCGTCTGTTCCACTGATATCTCAAGAACCATACATCAGTTTTTGATGAAACTTGGTGCATAGATGCTCTGGGCCAATGCGCAGATTTGATTAGGTTTTGGTAAAAATCCATGCATATTAATTTCCTAATTTGCATGATAATTAGCTGATTTTTAGCTGTTCCATGACTGTTCCACTGATATCTAAAGAACCACGCATTGGATTTTGATGAAACTTGGCACACAGATGCTCCAAACTAATGCGCAGATTTGATTAGTTTTGGGTTAGAATCTGTGCAATATTAATTACCTGATTTGCATAATGATTAATAAATTTTCAGCTTTTCCACTGATATCTCAAATACTAATCATCACATTTCAATTAAACTTGGTACATAGATGTCATAGGACACTGCACAAACCTGATAGTTTTTAGAGTAATATCAGTATACATATTAATTAGCTAATTTGCATAATTAATTAATTTTCAGCTTTCGATATTTTAAGTAGTAATCATCACATTTCAATGACACTTGGTACATAGATGTCATAGGACACTGCACAGACCTGATAGTTTTTAGGGTAATACGAGTACATATTAATTACCTAATTAGCATAATTAATTAATTTTCAGCTTTTGATATTTCAAGTAGTAATCATCACATTTCAATGAAATTTGGTACATAGATGTCATAGGACACTGCACAGACCTGATAGTTTTTAGGGTAATATCAGTATATATTAATTAGCTAATTTGCATAATTAATTAATTTTCAGCTTTTGATATTTCAAGTAGTAATCATCACATTTCAATAAAACTTGGTACATAGATGTCATAGGACACTGCACAGACCTGATAGTTTTTAGGGTAATACGAGTACATATTAATTACCTAATTAGCATAATTAATTAATTTTCAGCTTTTGATATTTCAAGTAGTTATCATCATATTTCAATGAGACTTGCTACATAGATCTTCTAGGATTATGCAGACACCTGATTAGTTTTAATTGGATATTAATTACCTAATTTGCATAATGTTCCACTGATATATAAAGAACCACAAATTGGATTTTAATGAAACTTTTAAAGAGAACTATGCAGAAACCCAATTAGTTTTTGGTAAATATTTATGCTTATTAATCACCTATCTCAATTACTGATCATCACATTTGAATAAAATTTGGTACATAAATGCTCTAGGACAATAGACAGGCCTGATTAATTTTGATTAATATTAATTCTCTAATTAACATAATAATTCATAATTTTTTTGTTCTGTTCATATTAGTTACCTGATTTACATAATTAGTTTTCAGCTTTTCCATCAATATCTCATGTACAAGTAATTTTTAAGTAATTTTTAATGTGTCTTCAATACTCTCAGCACACGGGAGTTCTTTCTAAACTTTCTTTGATTTAAGATTGGTCTGTCTAAATAGGGGTTGCTACTTGCACTCTTTTCACTATTCTCCAGTTCATTCACAATCACAGAGTTTGATGTGCTGCTATCAGTATTAAGTAGGTTCTTAAAGTAAACCAACCAATCACCAGGTTGAATATTCCCATTATTATTACTGGGGTTTTGCACCATTCAAGTCACGGAGAATCTTCCAAAATTTGGATGTGTCTTGGTTGTCTATAAAACCCGGAACCAAAATTGCATAGCTTAAAAATTAATATTGAAGTCAGTTTAAAGAAATGCATGTCTTGAAATTTGGTTTAGGGTTTAGATTGATATACAAATCATTTCACCCTAATCCCATTGCCAAAACACGGCAAATTAAATTTAACTTAAGTTAAAGTTGAATTTCATTGATTTTGATGTATTGTAACTAGATAAAATGTAATTAAATTGCATTTCTATACATGATTGCATTTATAACATTTACAAGCTAATATCATTTGTGCACATTATTATACAAATGTTCACCCCAACAGAGGCTCTGAGGGTCTCTAAAACTGTATGTCCATCGATGTTTGGGGTAAACATTTGTATTATTATACTGATTAAATCTTAAAACAGAAAATGTTGAACTCAATCATGACCATCTTCCAGGGCACCCTCGTAGAGCTGAATGCATGTACATGTACATGTATGAACACAAATATACAAGTTGAAAAAGTTCAAGAGCAGTGATTGAATTCTACTGCCTTTTCACTCGCATGGTTGTATTGATAAACTTAATTTCAGCAGCTTCAGCCTGACAAGGAATTGATTTTTATAAACACATCTGTCGCCATCCTGTGCGCAGCTATACATTACACTGCTTCCCAGTTCGTAATATAATATTGAAACGAGCTTCACATGGAGCTGTATACTGCTTGAGTATAGGTTTATATCAACACCATTCTCTTTCAACAAATACACTATACGTAATATGTGATATGCTGTCAAAACCCACAAAATATGTAACAAAATTGTGCTGTCACAAGGCAAATCTCACACCTCTCAGATTTTTTTGGTAGACAAACTGCACAATCCCAGATCGGATGTCTCAAAGCACGTCCTTGAGCACACTGGCGAAACGCATGGCAAACATAATTTCATGCGAAATCGCTACAAAATCCTAGTTTTTCTCTCCAATAAGATAGTCAAATAGTGGACGCAAACCTGGCAATCAGTTCATGAATATTGCTACGTATTGTGTTCCATTAACAAATTAAATCAGGTAAATTCAGGAATAGGGTACCCGGATGGAGGTAGACATACGAATATGTCAGCATGTCAACACTATTTCTATTGTGAATCCCATGAAGATATTTATGGCTTTTATGGAAATTTATAAAATATTTATAAAATATTTTTGCGCTATATTCAAATTCAAAGAAGACGCTTCCATTTGGTATAGAAACCATTGTCTATGTTTATAACTCATCATTCATGTCTGCCGGAACTTGTTTTTTGTCTAAAGCTATTTGCTATAGCTGATTTCTATCATTTCAGAACTGGTTCTCAGAAGAAATAGTTTGTTTAGTTTTGGTTCATACATGTACCTAGGAAATATGCATGAACCTTATCGCCCACTTGTCTTTATTCACGTCTTGTGAATAAGTATTATGGGGCATATGTGTACAACCAAATTTTGAATACTGATAGATTTATAAACCAAACTTCTATCGCATATTCTATTCTTATGTTTACTGTGAGGTCACTGTATGATTGATATAGTAAAAGTGATAGTTGTACTAAATACTAATGGAGGGGTGTGACATAATTCAGAATTGTCTATTTCATGTTAAAACTAAGTATGAATAACTAAAAGTGATATTTGCTATTTGCAGGTGCGCTGGATTATGTTGTTATGAAGGCAGAGGTGGTCTTTGTTCTGTTCGACTTAGTTTACCACTGTTAAAATTAAGACCTAGGAAAGACTTGGTTGAAACTTTACTCGTAAGTCAATATATGCTTTCTACTGTCAGCAATTTGACTGTTTTATTTCAAAGACAAGATACAATGGATTACAGATCACATCAATTTTTTCATTGGGTTTTAAGGGCCAAGTGACATAAATGTTGTTATTCTATTAGAGTCAGCCAACAGGTATCTGTCATCCCATTGTGATGAGTTAGTGTAAGCCAGGGGATGATCTGTGAATGACACTTTACAGCCAAAACAAAGTAAGCTTGGACTTTCAGTTGCGAGACATGACAAAACAAACGCAGCCAGTGATCCACTTCGAAAATAATAATACAAAATAAACAATCAAAGGCGCCAACCACTCGTGTTGGAAATAAATAGAACACGTTGCGACACAGTCTCACCAGCCTTTTTCACTCATGCACTATAATTATGCTATTTCCCAACGCACTTATATTTAATACATGGACGAAGAAAAAACACCGCAAGAAAATTATAATTGTAATTACTAGTAACTCAACTGAACTCAAACGCAACATTGATCACTGTGAAAATGGATAAATTCAAACCAGCCATCAAATTCAAAATTCAAACAATCTCGTTGAATGACAATCAAAAATAAACTTGATGTTTAGAAAGAAAAAAAAAAAATATTACAAACAAGAGTCTAGCAAAAGATGAGAATGTGCATGTGGGAAAGCGATGAGTGAACTTGTGGAAAATTATGCTAATGTGAGAACAGGCAGAGTACTCACTAAAACATTGCGAAGATTTGCCATTTCAAAGAGCACCTTTGCAAATAATTGTGTGCGATATCGTGAACATAATGACATGCAAACAAGGAACAGAGCTTTTGGTCCATCAAGGAGACTTAGCGATGGTGAAGTTAGATGTATACAGCTGTTTGAGTCTTATCTGAAAAACAAAATGATGTGCATCAAGGTACTATAATGCCCAACATATATACCAAGTTTGAACAAAATCCATCTGTAAACAGCTGAGAAATGCTTGATTTTGATGATTTTTTAGCACAAAAATGGCCACCATTCGGCTATTTTTAATAGGATCATCAAACCAATATATCTGTACATGTACATCTATGGCATGATGTATAATGAATATTTAAAATTTGAACATAATCGGTCACAGCAAGTCAAAGATATGGCATTAGAACCACAAAATGGCCTTTTGAATGTTATTTGAAAACAAAATGATGTGCATCAAGGTTCTGTAATGTCCAATGTATATACCAAGTGTGAACAAAATCCATCTGCAAACAGCCAAGAAATGCTTGATTTTTAGGATTTTTAGAACAAAAATGGCAGCCATTCGGCCATCTTGAATCAGATCGTGAAACAAATTGACGTGCATATGTATAATATCATGTATGATGTATGTGTGAAGTTTGATTGTGATTAGTCCAGGCATTTCTAAGATACAGGTCCGGACACATGCACCGATGCACAGAGGTCAAAACATAAGTCCCCGTTTTTGGACTGCATCCGAACAGGGACTAAAAATGGGTGCATATAGAATACATTTTGTTGTGAATTATTCTTCATATAAATTTTTGAATTATCATGTCAAAATCATTTTTTTTCAGGGTTTTTTTCTCCCAAAAAAACAAAAGAATGTAAAATGTTGACTTTCTGAAAAATGCACATAGAAACGGATGACAAGTCCACTGTTAGAAAGATGTTCCGAGGTTAATTTAATCTCCACTCAAGGCTATCTTGAAGCACTGCAGGAAATTGACCCTTACTGAATCATCTTTATGGATTAATCGGGATTCAGCTACCCTAGTGTTTGTAACAGTGTATATGGATTTGTGCATATTGGTTCTGGAGTTGACTAATTGACTAATAGTACATCCCTGCCATATAAATTGGCTAATAGTAAATCCCTGCCATATCAATTAGCTAATAGTAAATCCCTGCCATATAAATTGGCTAATAGTATATCCCTGCCATATAAATTGGCTAATAGTACATCCCTGCCATATAAATTGGCTAATAGTACATCCCTGCCATATAAATTGGCTAATAGTACAACCCTGCCATATAAATTGGCTAATAGTACATCCCTGCCATATAAATTGGCTAATAGTACATCCCTGTCATATATATTGGCTAATATTAAATCCCTGCCATATAAATTGGCTAATAGTACATCCCTGCCATACCAATTGGCTCATAGTACATCCCTGCCATATCAATTGGCTAATAGTACATCCCTGCCATATCAGTTTGCTAATAGTACATCCCTGCCATATCAGTTTGCTAATAGTACATCCCTGCCATACCAACTGGCTAATAGTACATCCCTGCCATATAAATTGGCTAATAGTACATCCCTGCCATATCAATTGGCTAATAGTACATCCCTGTCATATCAATTAGCTAATAGTAAATCCCTGCCATATCAATTGGCTAATAGTACATCCCTGCCATACCAATTGGCTAATAGTACATCCCTGCCATATCGATTGGCTAATGGTACATCCCTGCCATATTAATTGGCTAATAGTACATCCCTGCCATATTAATTGGCTAATAGTACATCCCTGCCATATCAATTGGCTAATAGTTCATCCCTGCCATACCAATTGGCTAATAGTACATCCCTGCCATATCAGTTTGCTAATAGTACATCCCTGCCATATCAGTTTGCTAATAGTACATCCCTGCCATACCAACTGGCTAATAGTACATCCCTGCCATATAAATTGGCTAATAGTACATCCCTGCCATATCAATTGGCTAATAGTACATCCCTGTCATATCAATTTGTTAATAGTACATCCCTGCCATATCAGTTTGCTAATAGCACATCCCAGCCATACCAACTGGCTAATAGTACATCCCTGCCATATAAATTGGCTAATAGCACATCCCTGCCATATCAATTGGCTAATAGTACATCCCTGCCATATCAATTGGCTAATAGTACATCCCTGCCATATCAATTTGCTAATGGTACATCTCTGCCTTATAAATTGGCTTATAGTACATCGCTGCCATATCAATTGGCTAATAGTACATCCCTGTCATATCAATTGGCTAATAGTACATCCCTGCCATATCAATTGGCTAATAGTACATCCCTGCCATATCAATTGGCTAATAGTACATCCCTGCCATATCAATTGGCTAATAGTACATCCCTGCCATACCAATTGGCTAATAGTACATCCCTGCCATATCAATTGGCTAATAGTACATGCCTGCCATATCAGTTTGCTAATAGCACATCCCTGCCATATCAGTTGGCTAATAGTACATCCCTGCCATACCAATTGGCGAATAGTACATCTCTGCCATATCAATTGGCTAATAGTACATCCCTCTCATATTAATTGGCTAATAGTACATCCCTGCCATACCAACAGGCTAATAGTACATCCCTGCCATACCAACTGGCTAATAGTACATCCCTGCTATACCAATTGGCTAATAATACATCCCTGCCATATCAATTGTCTAATGGTACATCCCTGCCATATGAATTGGCTAATAGTACATCCCTGCCATATCAATTAGCTAATGGTACATCTCTGCCTTATAAATTGGCTTATAGTACATCCCTGCCATATCAATTGGCTAATACTACATCCCTGCCAGATCAATTGGCTAATAGTACATCCCTGCCATATCAATTGGCTAATAGTACATCCCTGCCATACCAATTGGCTAATAGTACATCCCTGCCATACCAATTGGCTAATAGTACATCCCTGCCATATCAATTGGCTAATAGTACATCCCTGCCATATCAGTTTGCTAATAGCACATCCCTGCCATACCAACTGGCTAATAGTACATCCCTGCCAGATAAATTGGCTCATAGTACATCCCTGCCATACCAATTGGCTAATAGTACATCCCTGCCATATCAATTGGCTAATAGTACATCCCTGCCATAACAATTGGCTAATAGTACATCCCTGCCATATAAATTGGCTAATAGTACATCCCTGCCATATAAATTGGCTAATAGTACATCGCTGTCATATAAATTGGCTAATATTAAATCCCTGCCATATAAATTGGCTAATAGTACATCCCTATCATATCAATTAGCTAATAGTTAATCCCTGCCATATAAATTGGCTAATAGTACATCCCTGCTATACCAATTGGCTAATAGTACATCCCTGCCATATCGATTGGCTAATAGTACATCCCTGCCATATAAATTGGCTAATAGTACATCGCTGTCATATAAATTGGCTAATATTAAATCCCTGCCATATAAATTGGCTAATAGTACATCCCTATCATATCAATTAGCTAATAGTTAATCCCTGCCATATAAATTGGCTAATAGTACATCCCTGCTATACCAATTGGCTAATAGTACATCCCTGCCATATCGATTGGCTAATAGTACATCCCTGCCATATCAGTTTGCTAATAGCACATCCCTGCTATACCAACTGGCTAATAGTACATCCCTGCCATATAAATTGGCTAATAGTACATCCCTGCCATATCAATTGGCTAATAGTACATCCCTGCCATATCAGTTGGCTAATAGTACATCCCTGCCATATCAACTGGCTAATAGTACATCCCTGCCATATCAATTGGCTAATAGTACATCCCTGCCATATCAATTGGCTAATGGTACATCCCTGCCATATTAATTGGCTAATAGAATAGAATAGAATAGAATAGAATAGAATAGAATAGAATAGATTTATTCCACCAGAAAAAAAGAGGCAATTGTACAGGGAACTTTATCTGAATGAATAATAATAATATATATATTATTCCTGGTGGGGACCAGAGAGGTAGTTCTAGCAGAACTAATCTAGTCCCTGGCCCCAAAACCATACTCAACTGTTAAAATATATACGTTGTTGTGAATAGTGATACACAAAAAAAATTATATTGTTAAGTTAAAAATAAATAAATAAATACATAATTAAGTAAGTAAATAGTACATCCCTGCCATATTAATTGGCTAATAGTACATCCCTGCCATATCAATTGGCTAATAGTACATCCCTGCCATATCGATTGGCTAATAGTTCATCCCTGCCATACCAATTGGCTAATAGTACATCCCTGCCATATCAATTGGCTAATAGTACATCACTGCCATATCAGTTGGCTAATAGTACATCACTGCCATATCAGTTGGCTAATAGTACATCCCTGCCATATCAATTGGCTAATAGTACATCCCTGTCATATCAATTGGCTAATAGTACATCCCTGCCATATCAACTGGCTAATAGTACATCCCTGCCATATCAATTTGTTAATAGTACATCCCTGAACATTTTTGTTTGACTGAGTAGGAACAAATTGAATAATTAACAGAAAAGAGTTTTCTTCAACATAGTGACAAAACATTTCCTGAAAAGATCAAAAGAAAGCGTGGCAATGTAGTCCACACACTACTAGAATACTGAAGAAGACGAGTGAAAGTCATCTCAATTTATGCATGTGAGGGCGCTCTATTCATTATCTGTACTGTCCCATGGCTGCCATTAGCTATATCATCATGTTCTCTGTTTTGTGTTTTTGGTGTATATTCCTGTCTATTTTATACCCCATAGAACCTTCATGCATGTAATGTTTTTTGCTTGGACCTGATTCAAAATGGCTGACTGACAAGTCTGATGGCTAACTGGTGGTCATTTTACATTTCAATGATTACAATTTATGGGACACTACAATGGAACTAGCATAAAAATAACAATATCATTGTTGAGTTAGAAAAATAGTAAAATTATAATGACTTTTATTTTATATTTTATTTTTAATATCATTTGCATATATGTTATTTGTTACAGCATGAGATGATACATGCATTACTTTTTGTGACTGATAATAATAAGGTTAGTATAATCACTTTCAATTCATACTGTGGGGTTTGATTAGGGTTGACTTTATTGTATCAAAGTGATCTGAAATTCAAATATATGCCAAGCGGTATAAGATTAGTTTCTCAAAGTCTTTACCATGTAGGACAATCCAGAACACATTTAGTTTACAAGTGTATTCAGCTTCTACAATGTTTGTTTAGATATTCACATAATATATGGAGATAGAGAGTAATATGTATTC